AGGATGTAACTGAGTAATTCTACCCATTTTCCATTTAGTTGGAGGTAAGTTATCCTCCTTTATGAGACACAGATCATTAACTTGAAGATTTTTAGTTGGCAAAAGCCATTTTGATCTTTGTTGTAATCGACACAGATATTCTTTGTGTCAACGTTTCCAAAATTGTTGAACCATTTTTTGAATATGTTGCCATCTAGTGAGATGGGAAACTTCAATGTAATTTGGTTCAGGAATGCTTGTTAATGATCTACCAATAAGAAAATGACCAGGCGTTAATGCTGATAAGTCATTTGGATCATTAGACAAACTTGTTAAAGGTCGCGAATTAAGACAAGCTTCTATTTGTGTGAGAAATGTTTCAAAATTCTTCATATGTCAATCTCGCCTCACCAACTACTCGTTTTAAATGGTATTTTGTTGATTTTATGCCAGCTTCCCAGATTCCACCCATATGTGGCGCACCTGGAACGTTTAGATGCCATTTAATGCCATTATCAACCAAATATCTATTAACATTTTGGTTATAAGTTGCAGACCTAGCAAGCCTTTCAAATTCCATCAGTTTGCGTTTTGCTCCAACAAAATTGGAACCACAATCGCTATATATATCACTGCTTTTGCCTCTGCGGGAAATGAACCTCTTAAGAGCTGCAATAAAAGCATCTGCTGAAAGATCAGTCACTAATTCTAGGTGAATAGCTCTTGTCGTAAAACAAACAAATAGAGCTATATATGCCTTGAATGACCTAGAGCCTCGACCCTTATTTGCTTTAATTTGAAAAGGACCTGCGTAATCCACTCCACATTGAAAAAAACGCAGGAGCAGGCAAAACGCGACTAGACGGCAAATCGCTCATCAATTGATTAGTGACAGATGCTCTAATTTTGCAACACTTTATACATTTCCTAACTAAATCTCTGATAACAGCTCTACCATTTATGATCCAATATTGTTCTTGAATGCAAGATTGCATAAGTTGTGAACCTGCATGCAAAAGTCTTTCATGGTAATGTCTAACAATGAGATGAGTTAAAATGTGCTTCTTTGGAAGCAAAATTGGATGCCTAAAACCATATGCAAGGTTTGCATGTCGCAAGCGACCGCCCACCCTGAGAATACCTAAATTATCTAAAAATGGATTCAAAGATAAAATTTTGCTTGTACCAGATAATGATTGATTTCTGCCTAAAGTGTTAATTTCATTCTTAAATTCAACATATTGCATTAATTTAATTAACACATGCATAGCTTTAGTTAATTCACTTGTTTTTAGAAATCCACTTACCTGATCTTCTGAATTTTTACAGTTATTTACAAACCTCAGACATAATGCTAAACACGTTTAAGTTTAGTGAGAGAGGAATATTTATAAAATAAATCATGAGCGTCTGTCAAGTGACTGGCAGCAGTTAAAGACTGTAAAGCACATCTTTGCTCTGGCACAGAATCATCCAGTAGTGGTGCAGATAATGCTTGCTGAAAAGGAAATAAATTATACAATAAATCTGGACCACGTAACCACAATGAAGTAACCAGTGCAGATGATGACACACCACGGGTTGCAAGATCAGCAGGATTAGCATTTCCACTCACATGATGCCACTGGACAGGAGAGAATAAAGTCTGGATTTTTGCTACTCTGTTGGCGACGAAGGTCTTCCATCGGCTTGCATGAGATCTTATCCAGGCTAATACAATAGTGGAATCAGTATGAAAATAAACTTGCGATATAGGAGTATTTCAAAGCCCTACAGGTGAAATCCATTAATTTAGTCAACAGTAATGCTCCACAAAGTTCCAATCGGGGAAGTGATATGGTTTTAGTGGTGCAACTCTTGTTTTGGCTATCACCTAACTGAACATTAATTTGTCCAGTATCTAACACAGAACGATAATAAATTGCAGCGGCGTAGGCCTTCTCTGAGGCGTCACAAAACCCGTGCAGTTGAAACTGGTTATCTGATTCAACCAACAAGAATCGTGAAATTTTGATACTTCTTAATAAATAACAAATCTTCTGTAAGTTGTTTCCACTCACATTCAATATCTGGAGGAACCTTTTCATCCCACTGAAACTGATGTTTCCACAATCTTTGCATAATCAATTTATACCGAACCGTGATCGGTGCCAACCATCCAAGAGGGTCAAAGGTCTTTGCGATTATTGAAAGTAATGTTCGTTTGGTTAAGACTTCAGGATATGATGAATTGATTTTGAATAAAAACATATCTGAAGCTGGATGCCACAGGATACCTAACGTTTTTACAGTATCATCATTGTCTATGTTCAAAGGAACATTTGATAAGCACAAATCTGGATTAATTGAATTCAAGACTTCTTTGCTGTTAGAAGCCCATTTTCTTAGAATAAATCCTGCACGTGACAACATCTGATTTAATTGCATTTGTAATTCTATAGCTTCAGTAACTGAATTGGCTCCGGACATCAAATCATCAACGTAGAAGTCCCTAAGCCATGTCTTGGAAGCCAAAGGAAAATTAGTTGCTTCATCTATGGCTAACTGCTGTAAACATCTTACCGCAAGGTACGAAGCTGATGCAGTACCGTAAGCAATCCTAGTTAATCGAAAATCCTGAATTGGTTTATAAAGTGAATCGCGCCAGACTATTCTCTGAAAGTCTACATCTTTTAGTATAATTTGTCTGTACATTTTCTCTATATCTGCAGTTATAGCTATTCTATGAATTCTGAAACGAATAATTAATGTTGTCAGATCAGTCTGCAACTGTGGACCAACCATTAATTTCTCATTAAGAGAAATACCGCTAGAAGATTTTACAGAACCATCAAATACGACTCGAAATTTATCACCATTTTTTTCTGGAACTGAATGGTGCGGAAGGTAAAAACTAGAATTAGCTGGAACATCAATTTCATTTTCTGGAATCAATTCCATATGACCAAGTTGCTGATAGTCCTCCATAAATTTGTGATATTGACTGGAAAGAGATTTATTCATAATAAATTGATGTTTGTAACATCAATTCATAATAAATTGATGCTTTGTAAACGATGTACAGCAACATCCCTTGATGACCCAAGTTCATTGCCCGATCTACGAAATGGAAACTTAACAACAAATCTACCTGTTGAATCACGAGAAAAATTCCGCTTGAAATGATTTTCACACTCAATTTCCTCTTCTGTGTAATGCTTTATCTCCGAAATTTCTTCCAATTTCCAAAATTTTTCAAGCTGGAGCTGAACATTGGTACAACTAGCATGATTAGATACAATTGTTTGTGATACGCTTTTAGTCTTTCCGATAATGACCCAGCCGAATATTGATTCCAAGGCTGTTAACGAATGACCCGGAACAATTAAACGTCCATGAAGCATTATCTCGCCAAATACTTCTGCGCCCAAAAGAATATCTATTGGGCCAGGCTGGAAACAATTTGTATCTGCCAACCACAAATGTTTGAAAGATGTCAAAACAGATCTATCAACTTGATATTGAGGAAGGTCACACGTGATCTTGGGTATAATTAATGCATTAACTGAAATGCTTGCGTTTTTATAAAATGGAGATGTTACTTGTAATTGAACTGAACCTGAAACCTTTCCAATTTTTTTGCGAGCTCAGGCCATTTACACTTTCGTTTGCACTAGTGCGCTTTAGCTGCAGTAAATTTACACAGTGCTCTCGAATAAATGAGCCCTGGCTACCTGAATCAATTAGCATCCTGCATTTTTGTAAATCGCCATTAATATCTTTAACATAAACAACCGCAGTAGGCAATAAAAACTGCTTTGCGCAACAGGCACCGTGGCGTTATTGCTACTAATAGCAGAAGTTCCGTGTTCCATGGGTATATGACATTTTTCATCATTTGAATTTTTCGAACATAACACTGTATTATGTGGCTTTGAACAATATTTACACATTCCTGCACGACATTTAAAAATGGGATGCGTTTTACTATCTTTCAAACAATTAGCACATAATTTATTCCTTTTAATAATATCCCATTTTTCTTTGATAGGGAGTTCTAAAAAACTATCACATTTAAATAACTGAGAATGAGAATTACTCTTACAATGAATGCACACATTAGCTACAAGTTGGGACGAAAAAGCGTATCTGCTACCTGAACCGCGAGTTTTAATTTCAGAAGGCAAAATTGACTTCTCCCTCTGGCACTTCGCCAAAGAGGCAATAGCATTCGCTCTGTTTTAAAATAAAACGCTTGAATTCAGCGAAGCAGAGAAGCAGAAATTTTCTTGTTCGAATGCTCCATCGTCCACTCTTTTAGTGTTTCATGATCAAGTTTCCCTTTTAACAGAAAAAATAATTCATAGTATCCCAATGCTCTACCGGCTGCTTAAGGATTTTTAATGTATCAATACACTGTTGTGTTGTATCAATTAATCTCCGCAAACCTGAAGCTGATTCATGTTTTAGAACAGGTTGTGAAGTTAATTTATTTAATGCTGCGTTTATTATTTCTATTTCGTTTTCATAACGTTCAGTAAGCGCTTCCCATGCCTTTTCATAATTCGCGTTTGAAATTTGAACTGACTGTAGTAAAACAGCAGCTTCACCTTTCACAGAAAGCTTAAGATATTGCAATTTTTGACTGTCACTTAATGTACTATTATTTCCAACACTGGCAAGAAATAAATCCCTGAATGATATCCAATCAACATAATTAGAAGTAAACACTGGCAATTCCACGCGAGGAAGTTTCAAGCCGTTTGCATTAGCATTTATTATATCTTTGCCTGAATTTCTAAGTTTTCTTGATTCTTCCTTTAAAGTAATTTTTAATGCATCTAATTTGGAAAATAATTCATTCATTTCTATTTCATATTTACTAAACTCTGCGTCAGAACAAGTACCAAGAATGTTATCGTTTAAACAGTTCACTTCAACACTTAATGCACCAACATCATTTTCGTACACTTCAATGGCAGAAAAAGAATTTTCTTGATTTTGTAAACTATTTATTTGTGAAATTAAACGAGTCAACTTACCCTTAATGATACGCTTTTGCTTTAAAATTGACTCCATATTCCTGCCGCTGTTTTCACAATCCAGACAAAATATAAATCCGTTTTCCCTGCACGAAATGTCCTTCTATACCAGAACGTTAAAAATTGTCTTGACACATCATCCAAAGAAATGCGCTGGCTCACGACGGACCATGTTAGCGGATGGAAAGTAGACTCAAACGTTCGTTACTGCGTTTATTAGACTGTGTGAAGAACAAGTTCGTACAATAGATATACAAGTAGTTCGGCGCTCGCAGGCGCCCTCTTGCAGGGAACAAAATCAAAATTTACATAAGGCGCGAACAGAAGCCCAAATTTGAAATTTGGAATTTGTTTTATTATCGATTTCATATTTTGTAAAACTCTAACGTGTTTTCGATTAAGAAACTCAAGGATTTCAAAGCGAGGAATGGCAACGTTGATCAGAAAAAAAACATTTATATCCCCAGCGCGTGAGACTCTGTATCGGAAATTCTAAAGATATGCTCATTTTAAAATTAATTTGCGATATTGCTGTTGAACTGAATTTTATAGTTAGAGTACGTAGAACATGATGTTTAATAAAAGGTAACACACAAAACGTTAAAAAAACGCCCGTTTAGAACGGCCCCCAGATCTGAAACCTTTCAGTTTTTTTCTTTTTTTTTTTTTCTTTTTTTAACAGGCTATATCAAACTTTAAAAAACGTTGCTGTGAAACGTTGTAGTTCCGATGAACTTTCATATGTGCGTAACAGTGTAGAGTCATTATGGTTTTTGAAGCAGTAGATGTAAAAAATGAGCAATGCTCTCGCCGGGGCTGGAACATAGACCTTTCATATTAGCACCGAGTGTGCTACTGTTACACCACGAAGGCATGCTGGAAGGAGGGAGAAAATGCCTTATAAACACCCCCTTTAAAAGGGCGACTGAGGATTACGGGATCCAATCGCCAGATCCTGGTGGTGACGAATTATAGTCTACAACCTTTAGTTCGGGTGCCATAGTAATGTTATTAGGTTTTCTGAAGCAGGATACTAGAAAAATAAGGAATGACCTCACCGGGACTCAAACCTGGACCTCCTGAATTCGTGCTGAGTGTGTTACCGTTACATCGCAAGGGTATGTTGGAAAAAGGGAGAATAAACCTTATAACAGTAATAAAAGAGAGTCAAGATGCTATACATATATGCGCGAAATTTCGAAACTATAAGCTTGGTAGAAGTGAAACACAGATTAATTTCAGGACCTCTAACAAACCAACCTGAATCCCTTCCAGTGGTAAAAAATACAATATTCGACATTTTTACAAATTGTGTTGACTCAAGAGTGACAGACTTAATAACACTGCCAAATGTAGGATGACAGCATAAAAGTAGCAACAGCAGCGACCACGCATCTTCCTCATCGACACTGATGAAAAGCACTTCCGCAATTAAAGCATACCACTTTTAAGGTCAGAAATATTTCTGCCAGTAGACGTCATTTTCTCATAGATATTAGATAATTTCTCCTCAACACACATGCCAAACAATAATTGGGATGAATGTTTCCTCATTATTACGTACTCGCATCAGATAGCTGAGGTAGACAGACGCATGTCATTCGAAAAAACAAACTTAATAGAGTGGGATTTCGTTGACATTCGTTAATTGCTTACACGTCAGGCGTATTACAGAAGGACGCAGCGAAACCTAATATTTCTCTTTCAACTATAATAAATCTTCTACTTGAAAATACATTGGCGTAACTCGTTATGCTAAAAGTTCAGCAAGAAAATTTCAATAATAAGGTGTCCATGATGACTCTTCGCTGCTTATCTGATAGGGCAAATAACTCGTTATTTGCTTCTTCTCTGGATTTTAAGCTCGGGAACAAATATTTCATTTGAACTCCACTAATAAAGATTTCTTAATATTAATTATAAGTAAGTGGGTTGTTTGGTTGGTTGGTTGGTTGGTACCAATGCAAGCATTATTTACCTAAAGAAATGGACAATTCGTGGAGTATGCCCTGATGGAAAATAGTTCATATTTATGCAACAAATAGGGAAACCATAAATTTTCTTGAAATCAGCCCATTCGCAGGGACCGGAACTATCAATCTAGTTAGAAAAGAAATGTGCCAAGGTAAATTTTTTTTAAATTTTAAATTAAGACTAAAAAAAAAGGAAAGGCAGCCCTAGACTGCAAAAAATTTATGTAGATCGTTTTTCAAATCGATAAAGTTCTGTCTAAAATTTATGTGAATCTAAGATTTTGTTATGCGTTGTACAGACATTAGGTATTTTTTGGAAGCAGGAGATTTGAAAAATGAGCAACACCTTCGCCGGTAATCGAACCACGGACCTCTGGAATATGCGCCGAGCGTGCAGACCACCACACCATAAAGGCATACTAAGAAGGCAGGAGAACTACCTTATAGTGCAAGAGATGAAACACTGAAACAGAGAAATACGCCATTATATTTAATTGCTTAGACGGTCCCTTCCCCCCCCTTTATATATATATATATATATATATATATATATATATATAACACTACGCAAAAATCCTCTGCAGTCAGTCCACTAAATCGCTGGCAAGGGTTGCGCGACGATTGGGCAGGGCTGGATTGTTTTAATTATGGCAAAGCACGTGAAAGCCATTTGCATAAGGAAACAGATACTTCGGTGGAATATTTTTCAAAAAAAAAACATATTAATAAAATTTTTGGATATAAGCTCACCTGCGATTTAATGCATATTGCTGTTACTGTAACTTATCGTCCGAAAATAACTTCAGATCATCAAGTCCACGGATTTTACCTTGACAGTACAATCTAACGTTCAAGGGTTCTTCCCGCCTAGGGACGAATATGAAGGTCTCCCATTTCCTCTTTATGTTACAATCAACCTTTCCAGAGGATATCCAGCTCGAAAATATTTTAAGTTTCCCCACGCCGCACAGATATTACACACTTGTAAACAGTATATCCGCAATTTGAGCCTGGACCTAACGCTATGATAGTGGGCTCCCTTGCCTCCATGTCAACAAGGCGGCTCCAGTGGATATGAGTGCTATGATTAGAGCCTTACTACCAGTGTTCAGCAATTTTACTCAGCAATTTACAATGGTCACCTCAGAAAAATAAATTTAATAGTATGCAGAATTTTACCGTATGTTCTTTCCAGATACCGATGGCCACCAGCGATTAAATGAATAAATGAATAAAATCAATTAACACCTTTAATTGACAAAGACACCAGGAATTGTCCTTAAAATCAATTAACCGTGATAACTGATATGCTAAAGATAACAGGAATTGTCCTAACTTAAATTATAAGTTATTTTCTTCCTTCTTTTCACAAGCCTTCGTGCTGTAACTGGAAGCATACTCGAAGCGTAGGCGAGAGGTCCAGGGTTCCAGTCTCGACGAGGGCACTGCCCATTTTTCACGTCTCCTGCTTTATATATATATAAACCAATAACCTTTACAAAATAAACTTGCAATGTAGTTCTAAATGTTAAAGTCCAACTACAGTACTGCTGGTTTACTCATGTCATGCCGTTTTCTGTTCTTTATTACTGGTGCCAGTGCAACACTGGTAATTCACCTTAAGATTGGTTACAGGAATTATTCTTTAAATGTAACATAAAACAAACATTTAAAATAGCCTTTAAATATATTTTATGGAAGTATTCTACTAGAGTATTATCCATTAAAAATAGAGTAAAAGCATTATCCTTTAAAAGAAAAGTATTATCCTTTAAAATATCTTTTATGGAAGTATTCTGCCACGGGCAGATAGCCTTTGCAGGTTTTGAAACACACAAGTTATCCCATCCATCGAAATCATGGATGAAATTGATAATTTGACGACACCCAATTGTAAAACTAAATTTCATGAGTTTAAATTTACATTCCATCGTAGAAGAAATACAAAAGAACACAGCATTAAAAAAATTCCTTGAATAAAGCCTCTATCTTAAATCAGAAAAATCCTCGAAGATTTTTATATTTTTACCCTTTCAGATAGAAACGAAAATATTCAGTTGCGAAACAGTACAGTAACTATCCAGTAAGTTAGCATATTTTATTATTATTATTTGACAGACCCATAGCAATAATAATACGAAATACAGATTGAAAGGTTTTGCGTTTCCGAAAATCGTATTTTCTATACCTCTGTTTCGAATGCTTCTTCCATTCTGCCAATTTTATTTTTGTTTGTCTCGATTATTCTTAACGTTAGAATTCTTTTCTGCGTTATCGAAGAAAGAATAAATATCAAAATTCTCGATTTAAAGTTTACAGGAATATATAGTTTCTGAACTTACTGCCGTCTAGTTTGATAATTTTCAACGTATAACCAAACAGAGCTTGTTGAAAAGTGCTGCAAAAATCAATTCAAAATTCTTTCAAATGAAAGGGTGGAAATTTACTGGAAGTTTTTTGAATTTTGCTCTTGTATACAAGCCAGCTTCGGGTCTCTAAAAACATCTTTCATCGGTTTCAAATGAAGATTATTGGAGCAAAAATGATAGCACATTTAAATTCCGGTATAAAATTTCAGAAAGCAAGAGCAGAATGTGGGACTCGCCGATTTCTCTCGAATTCCGAATTATTATGCAGGCGCTTAAAAATAATAACACAAAATCTTGGAGTGTATTGCTCAGAAGTAACTCAAAATATTTAAATTTAGAATTCTAAATCATTTGTATATATGGCTTCATCTGACTTGCAGAGCTCCCGATGTCTACAAATCAGAACCAAACAAATTCAAAAGTCCAATTTTCGAAGTCATATTCAAATGATAACATATTTCAGAAGTCTATTTTCTTGCTTCTTTCGGAGAATTGCGTGAAAGGCTTTTCCAATTGTAGTACTTTTAATGTTTCCTAATCAGGAAATATTAAAAGCGGAGTTTAGACGAAATCGTGAATCTACAGTAAAAAATATGCATGACAATAACTGGTGTATGTCTATGCAAGTTTTAACCCATTTCAAATAATCTCACAATATTTATTGACAAGCAAAATTTTGCCACATATCGTCCAAAGGGGCTTTGCCCCTGAGGGACTATTGTTTTTGTTTTGCGATTTTGCGTCGAATCACTCTGGATGTCCGTTTCACTTTTCAAACTGTTGTCACCAAATATTATTCCCCTGTATTATATTTGAAGAAATTAAATAATGAAGAAACTGCATAAATGTATGTATGTTTCTCGCATTATGATAAAACAACGGTACCT